AAAACAAGTAAAGAATGCAGGTCGATGAACAAGGGCGGATAATCCAAACTAGGTAGGATTCAAAGGGTCTTTAGCAACTCACCAGATAATCCCGATGAGTCTTCTCTTAAAGGATTTCATCGAGAGACTATTGGCCCCCAACTTCCTAACTTTAGTTATTGGGCCTTAGCGAACTCATTAGCCACTCATCCTTTGTCTTCCTCAGATGTGGTCGATCTTGGAAAAAGATGAGCTTCAGCGGGAGAATTCAGAGAAGGGAGGACTTTTTCCAAAGTTGTTGAGTTTTCTCAACTGGATAAAGATGGGTTTGTGTTGTGTATTACAAGATTCATTAATTCTAAAAAGGAGGAGAGATCAAAAGTAAAGGAAGGGGATGTAGGAACAATCACTTGTTTTAGTTGTGTAAGAAAAAACATCAACAAGGGAATGCAGTAGATTGCGCTTAGGAGGAAATACGAGAGGGTAGAGTTTAGAGCTAGCATACGATATACAGAAGAAGACGATGGGGCAAGAGAAGATGATCTTAAAAAGATGGAAAAGGTAGTAGAAGAAGAAGGGGAAGGAAAGCCGAACAAGAAGAGCAATCCAGTGAAGGAGATACCTAGAAGAAGTGGGGAGGAGAACAACATTCAAGTAGGGCCGGAGTTGGAGAACACTAAACTCAAGAATGTTAATGAAAAAGTAGAGAAGAATGTTGAGAAGGGTGAAAAGGGAGGAAAGTCTTTATCAAGAGTTTACAAAAGGAAACAAAAATATAGAACTAGACCTTTGCAAGATGATAAGGATTATGGCGATGAGTATGTTGCAGCCTCAGCTTTAGAGGAGGAAGATGTAATTATTGATGAGGCTCACGAAATTGAAAGGGTAGTGGCTATGGAAATGGTGTCAAACAAAAAAGTGGAGGTTAGTAAAACCTTGGGCTTATTTTTCCTGGGAGGGAGGTTTTTGCAAATGAAGCTTTCAGGGAGGTGGAACCATGGAAGAAAATTCTAGAGAACTGTTGAAGGAGAGGGAGAAGGAGATATTCATCTCAAGCACTAAGGTGGTTGGTTCTGGTTCTCAGCAGGTTGAGGTGAATGTGAGGTCGAAGGTTGACGATGAAGACTTGGGGGAGGGGAATTATAAGAGAGAAGATTTGGGTGCAACTCACTTTTTTGAAAAGAATGCGACATAGTTTTCAAGGCGCCAAGGTGAGGCTAGGCAACAGGGGGGCGCCTTGTCGCCTAGTCGCCTAGGCGATGAATTTTTTTAGGTAAAAACCACATATTCTAGGGTAGTTCCCTAGATTCCATAATCATCTTTCCTTGATAACTATCCATAATTTTCATAAGAAAATTATAAACTTCATGTTTAAGTGTAGAAAATCAACATATTTATGAAAAGAAAAAGAAGAAAGAAAAGAACATTCAAAATATTGGGGCTGAACCCTTATTTTTGTTATAGGAAAAGAAGTTTGTGTTGATCAGACAAAATTTTAAGTTCTTCTCTTACTTATTGGTTCAGATTTTGAAGTTTTTGAGGGTTCAATACAGCAATTAGAATGTTTGTGTTGATTAAACCCTAACAAATAAGAAAATAATAAAAATAAATTAGTTTATAAACACAAAAAAATGATTTTTTTTTTGTTTAATAATATCTATTTTATAATTGTAATCTTGAAAAAAAAATAATATAGAAGTACTTTATAAGACAATATACAAAAACTGCTTGGCAATTGGGCGAGACGAGCCTCCAAGGGTGCCTTGTCGCCTAGGCATCGCCTTGACAACTATGGAATGCGATATTTGAATTAGAAAGGATCAATGCTAACAAGGATGCTCCCTCGATGATGGAGAAAATTCCTAACGTAGTAAGAAGATTCACAAGACGAAAAACTAATCAAACAGTGCAAGTTTCAAAAGTATTTGCTAGATTAAAGTTGGGAGTATTTTGGGCGGGGCCAACGAAGAAAGGGAAGAAGATAAAGAAAGCCTTTCAGATAAGAAGTAAGAGTTCTGTTTTAGGCATCGGATGTGTTGAGGAAATGGGTAAAGCTTGATGTCTTCACGATGGATTTGGGTTTTTGGGTTAGGATGTTTGGGTTTACCCTTGGAGATAACCCTAGATTTGCTAGCTTTTGGTCTCTGGTAGTGGAAAGGATTGAGAAACATTTGGTGGCATGGAAAAGGAACTATATCTCATTGCGGGGGGGAGAATAACCCTAATTAAATCTATTTTAGCAAATCTCCCAATGTACTACATGTCAGTGTTTAGGATGCCACAAGGGATAGTGAGGAAAATTGAAAAAATCATGAGGGATTTTCTCTGGGAGCCTGGGAAAAAAAAAGAAGGATCATTTGGTTAGATGGGAAAAGGTGAGGAAATTGAAAGAGGAAGGGGGTTTGGGAATAGGGAATGTTAGACTCAAGAATCAGGCTTTGCTTAGCAAATGGCTTTGGAGGTTTCCAAAAGAAAATGAGAAATTATGGCACATAGTGGTTGCAAGCATTCATGGCATGTTGAGCAATGGATGGGATGCTAGATGTCTCCATAGGGCTAACTTGGCTGCTCCCTGGAAGGCCATCCATGATGTTCTCCCTACATTCCTAAATTTTATCAGGTATGAATTGTCATCTGGTAGCAAAATCAGATTTTGGGAAGATGTGTGGGTCGGGGATATTCCTTTGGGTGAGAAATTTCCTTCTCTTTATGACCTGTCCAGGTTCAAAAGTAAGCCTATTTCTGAGTTCCTAAGCCAATCATCTCACATTCCAGGGTTGAATTGGAACTTTGGATTTAATTCGAGCTGTTAGGATTGTTGAGTTCAGTTTGTTTGGGGGAAGGTGGGTCAGATTCTAGAATTTGGGGTCCTAATGCCGAAGGTTCCTTTTCCTGTAAATCCTTTCTACATTCGATGGTTGCCACACAATCGTCTTCTCACTTTCCAGTCAAAGAAATTTGGTGCCCTCCTATCCCCCCTAAAGTTAGTGCTTTTTATTGGGAAGTTTTCATGGTTGTATTAACACCTTTGATGTACTTCAAAGGAAAAGACCAAATTGGTGCTTGTCCCCTAACTGGTGTGTCCTGTGTAAATTGAATGGCGAGACTGTTTTCCACCTTCTATCTTGCCCTTTTGTCAGTTTTATTTGGAATTGATTTACTTCCCTTTATGGGCTTAGGTGGTCCTCTCCTGACAGGGTGGAAGGCTTATTCAACCCTAATGGTATCAGTGGTATGACAAGGAGGGGAAGGATTCTTTGGAGGTGCACTAGAGCAGCAATACTTTGGATCATCTGGGAGGAAACAAATGATAGGATATTTGAAAGTAAAGAAAAATGCAAGGAAGCTTTAGTTGAAACAATAACATTGAGGGTGGCTCATTGGGTAAAAAGTTTGAAGCTGTTTTCAACTTTCAAGGTTGAAGATTTCTTCAGGGTTTGGGGACTTATTGCTGCTTCAACATCTATGAGACGACAGTTTGTTGAGACTTGGTCCCCTCCAACAGAGGGTTGGAAGAAGCTAAACTTTGATGGGGAGTTGTGTGGGTAACCCAGGCCCTTCAGGTATTGGGGGGGGGCATTAGAGACGAAAATGGTTCCATCATTGCCCTGTACTCCTCTCCTGTGGAGGTAGGTGATGTGACAAGGGCAGTGTTTCTAGCTGCAGTTTATGGGGTTGAGAAGGCTAACGCGTTGGGGATCAATAGACTGATCATCGAGGGAGATTCAAAAACTGTGATAAAATGGTTGCAGAAAGGGGAAGGGGTGACATGGAAGTTGAAGAATGAATTCAGAAGATTTAAATGGATATCAAGGAACATGTGAATTCAGGTGGGATGGGTAAGGAGATCTGGCAACAGTTTGGCGGATAGCTTAGCAAAGCAAGGGGTTCAAAGAACAGATATGTTTTGGGCACTTTTGTAATTCTGTACTGGGTCAGCTTACTATGCTGATTTCTTTTGTAACTTATTGTTGTATCCTAAAGTATTTTAATCAATAAAAGTTTCAAAATTATTGATCAAAAAAGAAAAAAAGGATGTTTCCATTGTGTTAAGGTAGGGGCTGGGAGGGTTGGGTGGGATTGCTTATTTATGTTTGCTTCTATGTGTTCTGTGGATGGAGGTTCTTGTGATATTTGATTTGGGTTTCTTGTAGCTGTAATTAGGGTGGGGGTTTTCAGGATGTCAGTGGTGTTTCCAGGGTTAATTGTCTTAGGGGTTAAGTTGAAAGTCTCAGTTTTTCCTTTATTGGGTAATTTCTTGTCACCCTGATGTATCCTTTTTATTCTGTTTCCTTTATAAATTTTCTTTTCTATTTATCTTCAAAAAAAAAAAAATGAAAAAGAAAGAAAGAGAAAAAAATAAAGAAAAAAGAAAAGGAAAGCTAGGGGGCTTTGCCCCCAAACCCCCTGGTTACGCCTCTTAACTATGCCTCATGTCATGCCTCCACATTTAAAACATTGGCTCACACTGGTGGAGTTACCCTTTTGACAACAAAATCTTCGAAATGTTTTTGAGACCTAATTCCCTGGGTGGATTATTGTTAGTTTTGATGTTTGTGTGGGATACTCTTTCCCTACATGTATATTTCTCATGGGTTAATCTTATCAATTCTGTTACCAATAAAATGAAAAATTTATTCTCTTCTTTTTTGGAAAGACAAGTTAATGGCCTTTTTCTGAGCTAAAAATTCAAAGACTTTCATCCGTTAAGATGCTACAAGTTACCAATTCTGTCATAGGCCTGTGGCTTTCATATATTTAGATCCATAACAATCAAGTTTTAATAATTTTGCAAAAAGAATTGTTTACAAGTCCAGTACTGCCAAACACTCCTTACAAAAATCTTAGGCTGGCCCAAGCCACCTAGGCCCCTTGATTTATTTGTCTTACACATTCCCCAATAAAATTGTCTTATCTGCAGCCTGGGCTATTGTGATTTGTTGGGGGTGATAGAGCATGAGACTTTTGCATGTTTAAAAGCCTAAGTACCCCTTACTGTTTTCTTTGCTATTTTGTTCTAGAGATACTCCGCATATATTTCAAGGGAAGGTTGGAAGAATTGAGTATAATGATGTCTGGCGAATATGAAGATGATATTGAAACTGAAGTTAAGGATGAAATGGATTTGGATGAAAGAAGCAAATCCTCATCTAGAGCTGGTGAAATGGATATTGATGAAATTTGTCACAGGACAAAATTTTCAGAGAATAAACTGGTGAGAAACATTGGTAAGGTTGTTCGTGATTTGAGAAGTCTTGGATTTACTTCAATGACTGAAGATGCCTATGCTTCTGCTATATTTCTGCTATTGAAGGTGAGTACCCATGCCTCTATGCAATAGGCATTTGGTCATTTTAGTTGATTTTAGATATTTTCCTCTTTCCTTCTCAATAGTGAGCCAAACGTACATTTTATAATTATGTGTTCTGATAATTCTGAATTACTTATTTTAAAAGTACGCCATCTTTTTGTCTAAATTTATCGTCTGCAATTAATAGCATCCATGTTTTTGTGGCAGACTAAAGTTCATAGTCTGGCTGGTGATGATTACAGGAGCTCTGTTCTGGAGTCCATCAAAGGGTGGATTCGGGTAATCCTTTGGTTTCTGCTACTATTCGATATTTGGTTCATAAAAGTGTATATTTATTGATCAAAAAAGAAAGAAAGAAAGAAAGAAAGAAAGAAAGAAAAATGGTGTACTTATTAACATATGTATTAACTTTCTATGTTTGGACATTATGCCGGTCCTGGTCCTCATCCATTTCATGAACATCTGAGCTTTTGTATCTACTATAACCTGAATATGTTCATTAATTAATCAAGATTCACATCTGTTTATTTCTTGCTTTTTTAGGAAGTTAAAAATTTTGGTTTTCTTTTTCTCTGTAAAGAAACTAAATTGAAAGTTAAAGTAATAAGGATTAGGAATTAGATTCCCAATATGGAAAGACGATCAGGTAAGTGTTTTTTTTCTTGCTTTTTTTGAGCAAAAGGTAAAAGTACTATTGTATTCATTGTGTAGAGCACCATATACAAAACATAGAACCGCTTAACGAGTTTAGAGTATTAAAGTATTCACAATTCTATTTCCACAATGAACAATGCGGACTATAGTTTTTTTATCAATAATTGACGGAGAATTTAATACATATTGTACTGTGCTATCCCTTACTCCACGAGAGCCCCCCAATCATACATAGATCTGGTTTTAGCCTAATGGATATTCTCCCAGCACCAGAAAATCTGCCAGATAGTTGGCTGATTGAGGGATCTAGGAGTTCTACTTGTACACTGTTGAAGAGGTGTCTTGCTTCCCTAATCTGGTATTTCAGATCCCAAAGTCCATCCATTTTCTCTCTTTAACCAGCTGATAATTATTTTTAGGTCTCCTACAAGCAATCCTAAGAAACTAGATGTTTAACCATAGCATTTGATTCATTGAAGAGTTAGGTGCAGGAATGAGTTGGATCAGGTTGAAGCTCACCTTGATGTGGCAATGCAAAATCTGGACCTGACTCATTTGTCAATTGGATTTTAGATATACCAACTTGAGCTTGTGGGAATCTAGGAATGTTCATTGTTGATTTATTTTAGCTGAGTGACAACCACATGCAATCTAGAAGAGCTCAGGGCAGACCAAAAGGGGCATAAGTTGAATAGTGAAAACTGAGAAATGGTTTAAGGTTAACTTAATAATGAACATGGCACTAAACAGAAAGGAATGGTGGAACAGGATTCATGTAGTCAATCCCATATAGTTAGGACAAGGCTTAGTTGGGTTGAGTACAACCACATGTTTGGCTCTAGTCAGTCAACAACCTTGTTAGGACCCCAAACAGGGAAGAAAAATCCCAAGCCCAACCGGATGGTGTTCTGCTACCAAAAGGAGACAAAGGCACTATAGTCGAGTATCAGAAGACAAAACCACATGCATGGCCCTCATATGATCGTGTCTATGCCAGGTGCAAATCCCTCCACATCAACCAAAGCCATTGAGCCTATTTAGAGAATCAGAAGCTGTTATGATTGTAATCATGAGCATTTGCATATAAATATCGGCATTGCTAATGAGAAGGACAGAGATATTTTACCCAACTTCTTCCCTTTTCTTCTTGTAGGAGGTTGTGTTCCCATGAAGAACACCTATGTTAGGCAAAAACCTAACAATTGGTATTAGAGCTCGGTATGCTGACCACCAGGTTGTCCTCGATGGAGGACAGTCTCGGTTAATTGGAGATGAGATTTCACCGACTTGAAGGAGATCTCAAGGAGATCAAAGAGTCTTTGGCGCTGGTGGTATCTCAATATGAGAAATTCAACACATCTAGGAACGTCGGGAATGAGAAAGAAGCGTCGAGTAGTGAAGCCTCTAGGTGCTCGGCTAGAATTCCTATCAAAACGACTAAGTTGGATTTCCCCCGTTTCTTAGGCGAGGATCCTTTATCCTAGGTATTTAGAGCATAAAAATACTTCGACCTGCATTCAACCCCTGGCTATCAATGGGTTTTTGTGGCTTCAATCTACCTAGAAGGGGAAGCCATCTCTTGGTTCTAATGGTATAACTCCTCACACCCTCATTGCTCGTGGGTGGATTTTACCGAGGCATTGTGTGCCCGATTTGGCCCTATTGCATATGAAGACTTGGATGAGACCCTTGAAATACTCAAACAAACTAGCTCGATAAGAGAATACCAAATTGATTTTGAGAAAATAGCAAACCGAGTTATCGACTCGATTGAGAAGGCTCTGGTCGGGAGCTTCATGGGATGCTTAAAGGAGGAGATAAAATTAGAAGTCAAGGCTTGGAAACCCACTACCATCCTAGCAACAACCGGCCTTGCAAGGCTATAGGAGGAAAAGCTGTGCCAAGCCAGGCGGCTGAGTTGATCAGCTAGATCCATTTTTAAGAACCTTAGCCCAAAACCAGGAAACCTTGGTTCTTCCAACACCAAGAATCAGGGCTCATGCCCAACAACTCTTCTCTTCAAGCGACTAACTTGGGTCAAGATGTAGGCCTGCAGAGAAAAGGACTTGTGCTATAATTGCAACGACAAATTCGGCCCAGGCCATAAGTGTAAGGCCAAACAAGCCTTTCTCTTGCAAATTGATGATTCAGACAATGAAGAGAATCCACAATGGGCCCAAGACCCATTAGAAAAGGAAGATGCCATTGACTTGATGGTTATGGGGACCCCTAAAATATCACTATAGGCCCTGATTGGTCAAAAGACCCCTCGGACTATGTAGGTAAATGGACTGCTCCTAGGCCGACCCAAATCGGTGTTCATTGATAGTGGCAACACTCTAAATTTTGTGACACAACTATTGGCTCGGCAGTTAGGATTAGTCATTCACCAGACCTCCCCCTTCGCTGTTTGTGTGGCCAACAAACAACGGATCTACTGTGAGGGGGTGTCCTCGAACTCGAACTTAAAGATATAGGGTCACCCATTTAAGGTAGATCTCTACCCCCTTCAATTCATAGGTGCAGATGTAGCTTTGGGGGTCTAGTGATTGTGCCAGCTGGGACCCGTGATATGTGATTGGGAAGCCATGACAATGGACTTTATGATCCAAGGGGAACACCACCACTTGCAAGGCATTACACCAGAACCTCCTTGGGTTGAGAGCTTGTGGTCCTTATTTAAGGCCGAGCTGAGGTCTCAACCCCCACATTGATGAATTTAGGCCCAACCTCAATCAACCCCACTGATCCAAAATATTTCCAGCAACTACAACAGATCCTCTCCCAATATTCTGATGTGTTCCAGGAGCCTAAAAGCCTTCCCCAATCTGGCCTTAGGACCACCGAATTCCAATTATCCTCGGATCCCATCTAGTTAATGTACGCCCTTACAAATACCCCTAGTTCCAAAAGGAGGAGATAGAGAAGATTGTCCCTGAGCTCCTAGACAAGCAACACATCTAGCCCAACAACAACCCTTATTCCTCCTTTGTCCTCTTGGTCCAAAAGAAAGATGAGCATGGAGATTTTGTGTAGACTATAAGGCATTAAACAACATTACAATCAAGGATTGCTTTCCCATCCCAATCGTTGACAAACTTCTAAATGAGTTAAGGGGGGCGAGGGTGTTCTCCAAGCTAGATCCGAGGTCATTGTGTCACCAAATAAGGGTCCACCCCGATGATGTTCCCAAAATGGCCTTTTGGACCCACGATGGGCATTATGAGTTCCTTGTCATGCCCTTTGGGCTGACAAATGCTCCATCGACATTTCAGGCTGTGATGAATGAAGTGTTTAGGCCCCACCTTCGGAAGTTTATTCTGGTCTTCTTTGATGATATACTATATATAGTTCAGACTGGCCCACTCACCTTCAACATTTATCCACCACCTTGGACCTTCTGAGGCAACAGAACTTCTTTGTTAAGGCATCCAAGTGTAGCTTTGGACAGAACCGGATTGGTTATTTGGGTCACATCATTACCATAGTTTTCAAGGCGCCAAGGCGAGCCTAGGTGATAGGGAGCGCCTAGTTGCCTAGGTGCCTAGGCGATGGATTTTTTTAAGTAAAAACATGTATTAGGGTAGGTCCCTAGGTTCCATAATCATATTTCCTTGATAAATATCTATAATTTTTATAATAAAAGTATAAATTTCATGTTAAAGTATAGAAAACCAACGTATTCCAACATATTCCTGAGAAGAAAAAGAAGAAAGAAAAGAAAATTAAAAAATTATAGGGGTTGAACCCCTATTTCTGTTATAGGAAAAGGTGGAAGATGTGTTGATTGGACACCATTTTTTGTTCTTACTTATTGGTTCAGGTTTTGAAGGAATGTTTGTGTTGATTAAACCCTAGGCGTCGCCTTGACAATTATGATCATTACTGATGGGAAGGTAATGGCAGACCCCTCCAAGATAGCTTGCATGACAAATTGTCCCCCACCCAAGACACAAAAAGGTCTGCAGGGATTTTTGGGCCTTTCTGGCTACTATTGCAGATTCATAAAGGGGTATGGGCTATTAGCAGCCCCACTTACCAAATTACTTCACAAGGACTCCTTTGAGTGGACTTCACAGGCCCAATAAGCTTTTGATAACTTGAAGCAAGCAGTCACTGAGTCACTTCTCCTCCAGCAGTGGTCTTACCAGATTTCTCAAAGGTGTTTATAATTGAGTGTGATGCTTCCAGGTGTGGATTGGGTGCCGTCCCCATGCAAGAGGGTCAGCCCTTGGCCTTCTTTAGCAAGGCCTTGTCTCCCCGAGCTCAGGCTAAATCAGTCTATGAAAAGGAGCTACTAGCTATTGTCTCTGTACTTCACAGATGGAGAGCTTATTTATTGGTCAAACGGTTCATCATACGAACCGACCATCGAAGCCTCAAGCACTTGCTGGAACTGCATATCCACACTTCTGAACAACAGAAGTGGTTAGCTAAATTAATGGACTATGATTATGTCATAGAGTACAAACCACGCCCAAGTAACAAGGCGGTTGATGCTCTCTCACGCATGCAAGAGCTGGTCCATTTGGGCATTTCCAGGCCCACTTTTCCCCTTATGGATCAGATTCAATAGGAAGCCCAAGAAGATTCAGTTCTATCACAGATCTGGGTCAGCCTACTCC